AGACATGCTCGATTAAGATCAATATAGTCAACACACATTCTCCATTTTCCATTATTTTTCTTAACAAGTACAACACTTGAGAGTCAGGTTGAATACAGGCCTAGTAAATAAAATTAGCCTCTAGGAGGTCTTTTACTACATTTTCAGCAGCCTCCGCTTTCTCAGAAGACTTCCTACATCTATGTTGTACTACTGCCCTAGCGGCTGGATCAATGGCCAATTGGTGACAGGCGACCTCGAGGTCGAGTCTGGGCATCTCCGCGGTGCTCCATGCGAACATGTTTGCATTCTCTCTCAAGAAAGCTTTGATCTTCTTCCTCTCCAAGTCATGGAGTCTGGTGCCGATCTTCACGCCTTTGTGAGGGTCTTAACCGAGGGGGGCGAACTCAAAGTCTTCGTCCGGGATTGGTCGAAGGAGTTCCTGTTCGCCGTTGGAGGCTTCATCCTTGTCGAAGCGGGTGTTGAGCGATATGGAGTCGACCTTGGACGGAGCCCTTTGTTCTTTTGTTTTAACAGGTTATGGTTCAGGTCGAGCAGTAGCTGCTATCTTGGCAGGTCGCACCCAGGTGTCGACTATACTATGTCCCTTAGAAGCCGCGTTGAAACATCTTCGGGCAGCTAAGATATCGTCGTGGATGGTGGCGACGCGTCCCCTCCTTGTGTAGAATTTCATCTTTAGATGGACGGTGGAGGGTACAACGATCAATTCAACCAGCGTTGGTCTCCCTAGGATGCAATTGTAGAGAGACGGGCAGTCGGTGACCAGAAATCGCACCTTGATCTTCCAGGATGCAGTTTCTTCCCCGAAGGTGACGAAAACTTCAATGTACCCCCATGGTTTGGAGGTCGAGCCATTGAAGCCTTGTAGGTCAGACCCCACGTATGGAGAAAGGTGGGTGTCGTCGAGCTGTAAGGTTCAGAACATATGAGTGTACATAACATCGACGAAACTCCCCTCGTTGACCAAGACGCGGTGAATGTTGAAATTAACCATTCTTGCCCTCACCAGCATAGGGATGCTCGAGTTAGGGGTACCTCCAGGCAACTCTTCGAGGTAGAACGTGATTGGTTTTGATCTGCCCTTGACCTTCTTGAATGTTACCGCTTGAGTCGGGGATACGTCGACTAACTCGTCGAGCTTTCTTTTTTAGGAGTTTATGGAGATGTCGTTGAACCCCCCGCCAGTTATAACCATGGTGGAGGGGAATTTCTCCCATCTTCTGTGTGTGGATAGAGGTTCTTCCTCGTACCTGTCGGGGATGTAGAAGTCCTCCAGCCTTGTATCGAAGAAAGCTATCTAGACTGGGGCCGTCTCATCTGATGGTCAGGTGTCCTCCTTAACCTTTTTTGTCTCGCGAGAATCTCGACAAGGGGCATCATTGCATTGATATTTCCCGAGTCTGCCACCCTTGATTAAGGTTTTGATGACGTCTTTGAGATGGACAAAGTCTTCAGTCAGGTGCCCATGACTTCGATGGTACTGACAGTATTTGCTCATGTCAGCCTCGGGCTTCGCAAAAGTAGAGCAAGGACGTTTGATGCCTCCGTCCTTGAAGTCGGTATTAGCACACTCTGCCAAGATGCACTCGCAGGAAGTTGTCGGCGGAGTGTATTCGGTGAATCGCCCTGCGGGTCCCCTATGCTCGCAGGGATCTCGCGGTTTATCATCCCTTATCTTCTCGCCCGTTCGTCGATGAGGGCTTGCATCTTGGTGTCACAGGGTGTTGGTTGATCCGTGATTCCTCAGATCGTGGGCTTTGTTGGCTACTTCCCTTTCCTCGTAGTCCATATAGGCCCTAGCCTTTTCGATGAGAGCATCGAAAGTCCAGGGTGGTTCGATGCTGATGGCCTTCCTGAACTCTATGCCCTTGAGGAGTCCTCTCTCGAGCAAATATATTTTCATGTGATCAGTGCGCGATACCTGAATGGCCTAGCGGTTGAACCGATCGATGTACTCCCTGAGGGTCTCGTCGCCTCTTTGGACGATAGCCTCAAGGGCGACCTCAGTCTTCCGGTGTCGAAGAGACGCTATAAAGGAGCGGATGAACTGACTCTTTAGGTTTTTATAAGAAGTGATTAACCTTGGGGGGAGATTTTTATACCAGTCCATTGCAGTTTTCCTCAAGGTCGTGGGAAACAACCGGCATTTGACCGGTCCCCAACATTTTGATAGTGGAGCATTGCCTCGAACCCGTCAATGTGGTCGACAGGGTCAAAAATTCCGTCATATTCCTTTAGTTGGGGAAGCTTCTCCATTCCCCTGGGAATGGGCACCTCCATGATTTCCGGTGATAAGGGATTGTGGGGGTCGTCTTCGTCACTCCTGTATGGGGAGTAGGAAGGAGACCGATTGTAGTGTCGGTCATAGTGATGTCCTTGGCCTCGGGGAGGATCCCTTGGTCGAGGATGCGCTTCTATTTTGACCTTGTTTCTGTTTTCAGGGGATCATTGTCCCCTGCGCGGGGGGATGAGGCCGCGTCTCCCGGTAGCCTTGGGCATTGTTCTCTCCAACGCGGGGCGTCACCCAGTGTGTCGGGGAGAGAGGCTTCACGACCTGTCCCGTCTGTGTCTCTGTGAGGGAGATTGAAGACAGTCTTCGTTCTGACGAGGAGGTGGAGTGTCAGGTCTTTTGTGTCTTCTGGGGGCTCGATGAGAGTCCTCGAGCACCCTTAGTCACTCACCTTGCGAGAAGATTAAATAATTCGTCTGGTTAATGGCCGCAAACAGAGCCCTGGTCGTGGCATCAACGCCCGTGGGGACGGGAACCTCCTGGAAAATGTTCAGCTTATAGTTCTAGGGCGGATGGGTGCCCTCGTATGGTCGAGAGCGTGATGATGAAGAGGAGGTCATGTCATCTCTGTAATTTTGCACGAGACCGACCATGTCGATGTTGTTCTCGTTGTTGTTGTTGTTGCCCATGTTGTCGATGACGTTGTTGTTAGAGTCGGCGAGATAGGCGTCTAGGTTGGTGTTGGCAGCAGGGTCGGCCATGACAATTAAAAGAGTTTGAAGAATTGCTTTAGTCTTGGGTTAATGAAAGACGGGGAAGCTTGTTTCCCACAAACGGAGCCACTGATCGTACTTAACCAGAGTGGATCGTCAAGGCCTACGAGCTGTGAGTTGAGCAACAACTGGAAGTGAGTCGGGGGGTACCTGCAAGACACTCTGATGCCAAAGTAAGGTTCAGTGCAGTGCGAGCAAGTATGAGAGTGAGTATGAAAGAATGAATATCTGACTCTCTCAAAAGAAAGGGTATTTATAGCCCTCAACGCTGGACTAAGGTCTCCATCGTTGGGCTGGGCAAGCAGGCCCAAAATGGAGACTGTCAGGTTCTACGTGCATAGTGGGGCCAGCACGTGGTCCCTAACCTGGATGGATTCCCTCGAATAGTCAAGAGGATATGGATGCGGTCTTTCTGGGACCAAGAGGACTCCGTGATATTCGGGGGTGTGGTGAGTCAACCCTACGAGAAGGATGCTCGCGATGTCCTTATGTCGTCGTGGGCACTCCCCGCCATCGGTGAGGTCGTACAGGAGGATTTTTCTTGGACGACGAGAAGAGTGGAGGATGCTCGCGAGGTTCTCTTGACCAGTGACGAGCCTCCTCGTGATTCCTGAACTTATCCCCGTAATGTGAAGCTTAGTTTTCCCGAAGAATGAGGTTGTTGTCTGACATAGTTGAGGACAGACTCGGTCAGTAGGTCTCTTCAAGCAACATAGTTGAATTGAGTCTCGTATGAAAATTTACCAAATGCAGGCCCAATCTAGAATATATATATATATATATATATATATATATATATATATATATATATATATATATATATATATATATATATATATATATATATATATATATATATATATATAAAAGGAATTTTTATAATTTATAAGTTTTTGAAAACAAAATATATATGTTTTCATAATTTATTATTAAATTCAGAATATTTAAAATAATTTAGCTTAAAATAATATGTATCTTCATATTAAGATAATTTTACATAATTATATAAATGAGAAATTTTGGAAAAACAAAAACTTCTCCTAGTGGTAAAGAGTTTTCACTATGAGAGAGTTGTCTTGGGTTAAAGATCGATTAAATGCAATATTTTGATATTTTCACCTTTAAAAAATTTTCAGTAAAAAAAAAAAGTCACACTGAATTTAAAATAAAAAATATAATAAAAAGAAAAATTCAGTGAGCTTGCCACATAAGTGTTTTTGTTGAGCCATTTTTTCAAAAGATTTAAAATAAATAAAATCTTTAATTTAAAATAAACTTAAATGGAAAATAAAAAATCTTCCATGTACAAAAGTTCTAACTATAATATCTAAGCATTTTTCGGGTGGACATAGATTCTAATGGACCAGCTTAAACCATGTGATTTCGACCAAACTAATCAATATATACTCGAATTCTCCCAGGACAAGACAGTAAGCAATCTCGAAAAGGAAAAAACAGCATATCAGTACATAAAATTCTCACACTGCCACTACATGATTCTAAGACCACCCAAATTCACGAGCCAAAACAGCATAGGAAAATTATCCCACTCAATCGCACATCGAGATCGAACTAGTTGCATACTACCATCTAATTGGTACTATATGCTTCATCCTTAACTTTATTTTTGATAAGGAAACCATATAAATATTTTATAAGAATAATGTAATAAAATCATCATTCTGCTTTTTTTTTTAATAAAAAAGTTATTAATAATAATGGTTAAGAGAAATCATTATCCGAGGACGGAATAGAATAGAAGAACGTAATATTTATTTAAATTTTGGTAACCCCTTCAAGCGAGTAAGTTGCAAAATATATTACACAAATAACTTAAAACAGTCTAAATTCAAAAACGATAGACGAAACACATGAGAAATAAGAGGTGGCTTTTCTTGAGACAAACTACGTTGAAACTTTGCTTCTGTTATTTTCTTCTTTGTATTATTGCCAAATGCAGCTTCCTGCTTATTTCCAATATTTTCTTAGACCACTATCTAGTAGTGGTAAGGAGGAGGAGGTGATGCATAGATGTAATGTGGTGGAGGTGGGGAATAGACTGGTGGAGGAGGTGAAGAGTAGACATAGTGTGGTGGAGGTGATGAGTAAACTGGTGGAGGAGGAGATTTATATTTGTAAACTGGTGGTGGTGGTGAGTATACAGGTGGAGGAGGAGATTTATATTTGTAGACTGGTGGTGGTGGTGAGTATACTGGTGGAGGAGGAGATTTATATTTGTAAACTGGTGGTGGTGGTGAGTAAACTGGTGGAGGAGGAGATTTATATTTGTAAACCGGTGGTGGTGGTGAGTAAACTGGTGGAGGAGGAGATTTATATTTGTAAACCGGTGGTGGTGGTGAGTAAACTGGTGGAGGAGGAGATTTATATTTGTAAACTGGTGGTGGTGGTGAGTATACAGGTGGAGGAGGAGATTTATATTTGTAAACGGGTGGTGGTGGTGAGTAAACTGGTGGAGGAGGAGATTTATATTTGTAAACTGGTGACGGTGGAGGAGAGGATATGTATTTGTAAGGAGGAGGAGGAGGTGAGTTGTACTTGTAGACGGTTGGTGGTGATGATGGATACTTGTATGGAGAAGGTGGTGGAGAAGAATACTTATATGGTGGAGGAGGTGAATTGTACACCGGTGGAGGTGGTGACTTGTACTTGTAAACCGGTGGTGGAGGAGAATAGTATTTGTATGGCTTCTCTATTGGCGGTGGTGGTGAGCTATAATGATAAGGTGGAGGAGGTGAATGCACTGGTGGTGGTGGTGAACTGTAATGATAAGGCGGAGGAGGTGAGTGCACGGGCGGTGGTGGAGAGTGGTAGTAGTAAGGCTTAGGTGGTGGCGGTGGAGATGAATATATGTAGTTGTTTGCTTGAGATGGCAAGGTGAGAGAGAGTATTGTCAATACAATAGCAAGAGTAAAAGAGGCCATTTGAGACCCCATGTTTTCTCAAATAGGTTTTGTTGTTGATATTATGAAACATAGCATCACCCTTTATATAGTTTTTTCTTAACCTTAACTATTCATCTTTCTTGGTGTAGTATTATTTACTATGATTTGATGCATATTACAATTCACCTAGTATTCAACATCTACCCAAAAATATTATTAAAAATAAATTATACTTTTTAATTAATATTATATTCATTATTTTTAAAATATTATGTTACATTTTATATTTATAATAATAAAACTATACTAGTGATTATTAAGAATAAATTATTAAAATCACATATATTTTTTTGTCATAAACAAAGTAATAATAATTCATACAAATTTAATGTTAATGTCTAGAGCTGTGTCTATTCTTCAGAAATTTTATATAAATTAATCATAGTTTAAGCCTAACAAAATAAATAGATATTCTATTTAAATATAGTTTAATTATGATAAATTTATAATCATGTGCAGTAATCCATTTTAAATGCTGATCATATTGATGTGCTATCTAACTATATCTATCTCTATCAATGAGTTATGATTAAAATGACTTTTTTTTTAGTAATCATTTTTAAACTTTCATAAAATTGTCAAATAGGTTATGTTATACTAAAGAAATGTGAGATTTATTATGTGAAAGAAGAAATATGTTATAATATTGAAGAAATAAATGGTCTGCCTTTGAATAAGCGAGTATGTTAATTGGACCAATGTAAAGGCGTATGTAGCTTATTACCTAAAAAATGTTGACAATGTGCCTTTATTTTCTCTTTATTATGAGTATATTACCAATCACTGTTTTACTATTTTTTTTTTGTAGGCTATTTTCAAAGTAAGTAAAATCAATACCCGCGTAGTCTTTGTTTATTCAATTATTGTGTATTTTATCAAATTCATTTGTCCTTTTTCAATAACAAACTTTGAAAAAATTTGCATACAACCTTTGAGTTTGTTGGCTTCAAGTGTGAATGATAAGTTTGATCAAAGTATAAAATATTAGATTTACAGGAGAGATAAATAATGTTATTATTTTTACATTTATTTCTATACTAAATACTTATATCATAACATGTATTGTTCATCGTATTTATATGGTGAATAATATTTTCTTTAAATAAAAAATAAATTTATAAACAATATCGTGAATAGTATATAAATAGTGATGTAATAGTACATGAACAGTGATAATGAACAACATCAGTAAACAATACATGAACAATGATTTTTAGTAGTATCAAAATTGGTTAATGAAATATAAAAAGTTGATTAAGGAAATGATGAAATTGGTTAATAAACTCTCAGATATTAAAAATAATTTTTAGTAATAAAATAAAGTTGATTAATAAAATATAAAAAAATGGTTAATGAAATAATAAAGTTGGTTAATAAACGCTAAAATATTAAAAGTGATTTTTAGCAGTAAAACAAAGTTGGTTAATACAATGTAAAATGTTGGTTAATAAAATTATGAAGTTGGTTATTAAACATCCAAATTTTTAGTAGTTATGAAGTTGTTTAATGGAATTTAAAATATTAGTCAATGGAGTTATGAAGTTGATTAATTTATCAGTAGTTTTTGGTATGAAATGTAGTGTTGTCTTCTCTTATGGTATAGTTCATTTGGTCTATTGTTGTCTTCTCTTGGCTTTCTCAAACTCCTCAACAAGTATTATTAAAGTACATTTTGATAGGACCTCCTTGTATCAAAAGTTTTCCCAATTAAGGTGATTATGCAATGTATTTCGTTGAGGGAAAGAAACTATAATACAACTAGATACAAATAAAAAAATTTCACTACTACAAAAAATATTTAATATTGGAGCTGAAATATATTTAACCTCGACTACATAAGCGAGGTAACGAAAAAAGTCATGCATGAAAAGCTGTCGATTTATCACTTGGTTAATAAAAAATCGAGGGGTCAAGTTATCTGCACATAGGTTCGAACCACGGCATCTGCATTTTTATTATTTTTAAAACTAGTGTGTCATACCTCTCAACTTATCAATAAAATTGAGTAAGATAGATAAAAAAATTGTTATATTGTTTACACAGAATATTAATAAATTAATTTGTTTATAAACTATATTGTTTACCCAGAATATTACATTGTTTACACATAATATTAAAGTAAAAGTTAATTTCCCTGAAGATCTAATTTTAGATCTTCGAATCATTGAATTTTGAGAAAGAACAAATATTAGGTGTAGGATATTTTCAATTGCTTCTGTTTGCATTTGTTTCTGAAATAAAACAAAAAAAAGTTAGATAAATAAATGATTTTCTGCTAAATAAAAATTTAAGAACATAAACCTTAAACTCAAATAATTTTCTGCTTCTGCAATCCATCATAGAGAATTTATCATGGCAAATGCCCTTGCAAATCTTAAAGTGGTGGATGTAGATAGTTTCAAGCACTTCATGATGTTTCATTATCAATATTTAATATTCATAATACTTTTATAATGTAAGTTTTTTATGTTTCACACAGATTATTAATGGTAGTTTTAAGTGTTGATAATCATGAAATAGATGACAAAGATTTATTTAAGGATGGTGATCAATATCCTCAAAAATTACGCTAAATTATCCCCTCAATTTTGATAAAAACTGAGGTAAAATATATTTACCCCTTGGTTTTAGTAGAAAACTGAGGTAAATAAGTATTATTTTTTTAAAATTACTTAGTTTACACAGAATATTAAAATGCATTAATTACAATAAATCCATATTCATCATCGTCGCTATTATTCTTGAAGAACAACAAATCTTTGATGTAATCCAGATTTTGTTGCATATCTTGTATGCATCCAACTTCTAATCTTTTCAAGGATTGAATTTCCTTCTTTGTGTAACTTAAAGCAAGAATGATTTTCTACACTTGCAATTCATCAATGAGAAAAAAAAATTTGTTCAAAATAGACAAACACAAAACATTGAAGATTTTTTATGTCTTGCAATTCATCCCAAAGAATGATGCATACGAGTTTGGGCGGCTACATATAAGTTAGGATTAGGGTAAAATCTGTTTAACGAGTGCTTTTATAGTAAAATATGGTTATTTTATCCCTCGGATATTATGAAAAATGAAGGGATAGATCATTTAGTTTATACTTATAAAGAAATATAAACATAAAGTGCAATAGATGGGATTCAAAGCATGTCCTGAAATGTTTTGTCCATTGGTTATATTAAAAACCGAGAGAATATGTGGCTTTTATTTATAAAAAAAATAAAACATGACGCGTCTTGGTATTATACCTCTTTTGTTGCTGAGGTGAAAGCTTTGTCATAAAATATATTATTTGTAAGAGGACTTTCTAAGAGGAATTTTGGGAGAGATGGCCAACTTTGGTTTCGGCCGAAGATTATACCTCATCCTAAGTCATTAGAAAGTAGTGAGATGGCCAACTTTGGTTTCGACCGAAGATTGGTTGATACTCGATGCTACACTCATTGAGATAGAAATTTTGGGATATTTTGGCCGCAATACTTTGGTGCTTGAGCTAAAACAATGCCTAAACGAAAGGTCAATGATATGAGACTCCTTAGAACCCGGTTACTATTACTAGGATAGGTTGAGCCAACTGAAACTTCAAGAGGGTACTTACCTACAAACACCATGCAAGTCTGAACCTAAGGCTATTTGTGTGACTTGCTTGCTTTCATTATCTAACAACTTGAACTCCTTGTAGGGTTTTGTTTGTATTCATTATCTAACAATGTGAGTTCCTTGTAGGACTTGTTTGTAGTCATTATCCAATAACCTGGACTTCTTGCAAGATTCACTTGTCGTCATCACCTTACACTTTTGCTTGGTGCATAGCATACACATCATACCATCATACCATAGCATTTACTTAACCATTTCAAGGATCTCAATGGCCTATGATGCGGGTTATGATGAGCCAGACGTCTAGAAAGGGGCAAGGGGATTTATTTTCCTCTAGCCAATGCCGTCAAAAGACCAAAGCACGATAACTTGAGTCAGAGGCTATGACCCACTCGAAATGGTGAGCTTGATTCTTGTAGAAGGACATTCAACAATATGAAGTTATTCAATCAAAGTTGCAATCAGATTCTAATATTTTCTTGTGTTTACCCCGCGAGATCCTTGAAAACATATCATACATATCATACATATCATTACATAAACAGGAATTTCAAGGACATGTATCATATTTTTTCGTTGTTTTTTTCAGCAAAAAGAAATGGCTCTCGGATAGAATATTAAGGACCTTCAAGCCAAGAATGCTCAATTCCAGCAGATGTTCCTGGCTCTGGCTAAGGGACAAGATGACCTGGAGGCTCTTATTCTCAAAGACAATAAGAAAAAGGCAAAAAAATTAGTGGGTGTCCTGAATATGGGAAGGAGATTCATAGGACCATCAAAACAAGCTCTAGAATTCGCAACTCCGTCAAATGAGGGGGACAATCAGGAAGAAAAGAAAAAAGAAGAAGACCACAGTCCAGGGTCTGATAAAGAAGCAGTTGATTATGCCGAAGAATAATTTCCTTCTGCTGATGACAAATACAAGCAGCTGGAGGATCGTCTCAACGCCATGGAAATTCAGAGGGTACCTGGTATGGATTTTAAAGAATTAGGGTTGGTTTTTGGTGTGGTCATCCCACCAAAGTTCAAGGTTCCCGCTTTTTCTAAATATGACGGGGTTTCATATCCTAAACTGCATCTGAGGTCGTATGTTAGGAAGATCCAACCTCACACCGCTGATAGGAATTTGTGGGTGCATTTCTTCCAAGAAATTTTATCGAGGACTCATTTGGAATGGTTCTATCTCCTGGAGGGAACCAACATCCGCACCTGGGAGGATTTGGCTGCTGCTTTCTACAAGCAGTACCAATACAATGCTGACTTTGCTTCAACCTGTACACAACTTTAAAGCATGTCTATGGATTCTAGCGAGGGCTTCAAAGATTATGCCCAGAAATGGAGAGATCTTGCAGGAAGAGTCCAACCTCCTCTGTCTGATAGAGAGCTGGTA